TGGGATTGCTTTCGGGCTCATTATCTTTTTTGAATTTCTGGGTCGGATGGTGATGTAGCAATGCATTAAGGTTTGGGTTTGTGTGAGTAGGGTTTCATTAAACGGAATGGGAGGTTATTATTAGTTTCCAATTCAATGGTATAGAACTTATGTTACGGTGTCTAGAATTTAAATAATTAAGAAAATCTCGAAGGGATTCTTGACCACGAGACCAAATAACAAAAATATCATCCGTGAGTCTACATAGTTTTGATTTTTGACTGAAAAAGTCTTTTCAAAAGCTTCCATAAATACATTAGCCACCACTGGTGATAATGGAGAACCCATAGTTATTTCTGATTATTGTTCATAAATTTGAAAATTACAAGAAAAAATATGCTCCAGGCAACAAGTTACAGACATAGGAGAGAAACTCTACTTCGAAACTAACCAGAATATCGTTTGGATCTAATGTAACGGATCTAAATCGTACTATGAAGATAAGGAAACTTCAGATTTCGCTGCAAAAGGTTTTAATATAGAAGCTAGAGAACAGGTTGGCGAATCAATGGTACCTACTAACAAAAGGTCGAAGAGGTAGTCTTGGTTTCTGAACCTTAGGGAGTACGTAGAAACGAGGAATTTTAAAGTCGTGAGGGGTGACAATTTTTTCACAGATTCTAGCTATTTCTTGTCTGTCAAGATTCTCGCAAATTTAAGATCCTACTGCATAAATTATTGGGAAATAAAATGAGATTGTTATATGCTCATGCAAAAATGAAAATATCTTGGAAAACGAGAAACTTCTATTACAAAGATGAGTCGATTCACCCCTTCTGTTGAGAAGCAAAGTCATCCTGTTCAGTGAGTAGTTGCAATAGTTGTGCATGGTTGAACAAGCCTTATGGAGAAGAAAGTGTGAATAGAATATCAATTTCCACGAAAAAAAATATATAATTTCTGCGTTATAATTTTGTATGCGTGTATGATAACCAGGAGCAATTCAGTGATGCGAGTAAATCAAACTCTGGGTTGACATAACGGGTTCTAAGTTCTAAGTTGACATCTGCCTTGTTGCAAAGTGGATGATATAAAAAATCGGAACGGGTCGTCACTTTTAAAGTACTTCATTGATATTTGTGTCCCATTTTTTATAGTTTAATTCTTATTAATACAGCTCCCGTGTTGCGGTTTGAGAGCCAAAACGGAAATGTCATGGTACTTTGAAAAATTTTGCATTTTTGCAACTTATCCAAAAGGAGAAAACTGGTCTTGATAGGGTTTCCGTAGCTCACAAGTAATGGTATAAAAATTAAACTTAATTTTTTTAAATAAAATCTATTTAAAATAGAAAAATCTTTAATTTTACTATTATTTTTTAATTTATTATTTATTATTTATTTATTAGTTACATATAAAAATTAAACTTAATTTTTTTAAATAAAATGTATTTAAAATAGAAAAATCTTTAATTTTACTATTATATTTTAAATTATTACTTATTATTTTTTTATTAGTTACATAAAAAATTAGTTATCCTTCAAAATAATCTTGTTGCGTGTGGGCTATATTAAATGCGCACTAATAAAACACCTATAAACCATTGCAAAAGGAAGAGAGGACGGAACTTAAAATTAGGAATTACGAAGTGTCGCGACAACTAAAGTATACCATGAAAATGGACATCTTTTTTCCATGGTCTACTCACAAAAAAATTAAAGATATATGATTTATATTTGAACTAGATTTCATATGTTTCATATTTTATATTACAAGCCTGATAAAATTATTAAACAATGTCATCATCATTTCATATCAATAACAAAAGTTTAGTTTACGTATCAAAATTAATGAATTTTCTTAAGCACTGGATCCTACGTAAAAATAAATCAATAGACGGCTATAAGGATTGTGTATAAATTGAAAGTAATCAAAAAACACTCTGCATTCAAAAATCCAAGAAACTATGACATTCTTTTTTTTTTTTTTCAAAGAAACTTCCAACATGCCAGCTTTATCAATAATAGAGGTACGCAGTAAAACCACAAAAATAGGTCGCACTGTACAAATCAATATGCCCCTTGCGAAACGAATAAAGAAAATACCTTTCTTCTTCTGTTGGCTCCTATTCTTTGTGATGTGGGTAATCACGTTGGTCCGTACGATTTAATTAGTTTGTATTTTATTGAAGCACTTTTAATTTCAAATAAATATTTTCAATAGTTAATCGGAGAGCAGCAAACAAGATAAAGACGAAAGATTTGATATGTATTTTGGGAGTCACCTTTGAAAATAAATTTGGGTCTTGTTTTGCTACTGCGGACGATTTTGATATCCCATTTATTATCATTTATGGTACGGAACTTCCATTTTGTTAAGTACTCTCGGACTGTCGGAAGTTTGGCAACGCTGCAAGCGTCTTTCCCCAGCGTTACCGGAAAAAATATATACGGAACGAGTTGTGGGCGGAGTGTAAGTCTGTCGTCACGCGTCGTAATTTTCGTCGGCCTCGTAAATTGGAAAATTTAATTTGACGAGTGACTACTGAGCTCCAGGAACGGACTAGCATCCCGCGAAGGATGGGAAAAGAATTCCTTTACCGATTTTCCCAAAAACTCAGACCTAACAAAATTTGAATCCGCTTATTACCGCGTTCCGTGTATATATATCAAAACGGGGTCGATAAGCAGACAAAATCTGGCCCATTAAATTTGTAACACAATCGCATAACAGGAACTTCATTAAACTGATACCGGGGCCGAAAAGGGTGAGCAATTATGCATGAATTCCATCGGGGGCGCAATTATCTATAATACCAGCCCAGTAATGACGTGAAACTGGGCAAACCGACTTGGGACCAAGTGGACCGGCTCGTGCTCTTGGAGAGGCACATTTTGAGTCGTATTAATTTTAATAAATTGCATTTAATTTACACTTTGTGTGACTATGTACGGCTGATTTCATAAGAAACTACCCTTTTTTCAAAGTTTTGAGCAGTGCATTATACACCATGTAAAAACAAATTGTCAGCGTCATCACAAATACGTTAGAAAACAAAAAGTAGCATAAAATGGTTTCACATCCGAGCAGAGAGTTAAAGGGAAGAATTGTCACCAAGTTAAAAGATGGTTGGTTAATTAATATAAGCAGAATAAGAAGAAGAAACGTTTGAAAGGAAAAGCGGATCTGCAAGACAAACAGTTAGTTCAGTTCAAGAAGATCAGGCGCTCCTTCGGGTAGGTGAGAAAATACTTCCCAAAGGGCGAAAAACGCTAGAATCCTGTCGGAATTTCCGGGCAGTAAAGCCACAGTTTGTCGAAGAATTGAGACATCGCATCAAAAGTGTCGGACTGTGGCAAATAAGACCGCACTCACTCCCCAACAGAAGCAAGCACAGCAAATTTTCAATCTCAACTATCAGGCGCAAGATGAAAAGATCTTCCAAAAAATTTAAAATAACAGTGTACAGACCAGACAACTAGTGTTCCCACCCTCGATTTGCCGACAGGTACAGCTGCAGGCCATTTCAGAGTAAATGTATGGGGATGGATTTCATCCAGAAGAATGGGAGTAGTATGGATGTAGTATGGATAGAGGGAAGATTTGCCTAGAAGTGGTGCCTAGCGTGAAACATCTTTACCCGGCAAATAATTATATTTTCCAAGAAGATAACTATAACACTGGCCTGTGCCAACATTGAAACATTACCATGTCCAAGTAACAGTCCTGACATAAACCCAATCGAAAACATATGGGGGATAATGGTGAAACGGCTGTATCGAAAAAAATTTCTGCCTCGAAACAGAGAGGAGCTATGGCATGGAATTCAGGAAGTATGGGTAAAATTTTCGCTTAAAGAAAACGTCATAACTTCCTAACTAGTTCCATGACCATAAGCCGAAACTGCTATTGATGCGGATGGAGATTGCACAAAATATTAAATTGCTCCCCAGTGTTTGCTCTTGTCCTGTTTATGTTAAAACCTAATTATTTTTAAGTTGTTTATTTAAATTAACTATTTATTTAAAAAAATGTGGAATCTGTTTACATGTTTTTAATAATAAAACATACAAGAACAACCGACAATAATAGTATATTATGCAACAAGTGCGGTAAACGGCATTTGACTCGTTTGACGAGTTTATTTGACACGAGCGGAGCGAGTTTTTAATAAACGAGTGAGTTAAAAAGTTTCCCGAACGTGTTGCATACAAAAAGTTAACAATAAAATTAAACAAAATAGTGAATACTGTAACACCCATATAATATACGCATAATATACATTTTTTTGATATTTTTATAATTTTTCCAAAGAGGATGTTTCTTATTGCTTACACTAATTTAGTGTTCAAAAAGAGTTTTAGTAATAAAAATAGATTTAAGAATACATTTTATTGTAAGAGGTAGGCTTTTCTTGTAGTTATGAAGTGGCTCACGCAAAGGCAATGAATAGAAATACCTGCCTTTGGCTAAAACTGTTTACGAAACTGAGCCATTCGATATTCACAAGGAAAAAACACTCAAATCTTAAAAATACGCCTATTAATTTTTATTATACAAATAGTTTGCATAAACCTTTAGATCCCATATTGGACGTCAAAACAAATTTGGTTTTGTCACAATCTGATATGACAGCCTGATGATGTGTACACTGCTCAAAATATGAAGGGCATTTTTCAAGCCGCATCAGTTTTTAAGAAACCAGCTGTACCACTGTTGTGAGTAAATTCTCACTTTTGCAGTGAACACATAATTTGAATGATGGTGAGCTGATGTTTGCCGATTCTGTTATTAAATAAAAAGCACTCTGCAGCTTACGTGAATTAAAAAAAGCTAAGGACTGGTTTAGAATTAATAAATAACTCTTAACGAAGCAAAAACATTTTCTCTAATTTCGAGGCCTATCGACGAAGTAAATAACGGAAAAAGTACAATTCTTGGAAAGACATTTAGATCTTAAGCTATATTGGTGACTAGCTCATACGTAGTTTTGAGGGCACTGTGCACTACAACATACTTACAGGGTATCACGTTCTTAGTAGCTCTCACTTGCTTTATGGTCTGATAAACTGGGGCCACGCTCCTGGTGCAGCAGGAATCTGCGGTCTGCAACATAAAGTAGTTTGAATAATTACAAAAATGAAGTATAAAGAAAACGTGAGGCCTTATTTCCTTCGTTAACAAACTAATGCCTGATGCAAAAGCTCTACCAATCAACAAGTTCAACAACATAGTCAACGACTTCTTAACAAATCAAGTCTTCTACAGCTTATAGGAGTTAATCATTTTTCAAGACACCATTCAGAGCATGTTCTTCATATTATGTTTAATATAACTGTATTTTATTTCTTCATATTATATTCTCTATGTATGTCGTATTTGTGACATGCTAATAAAATCAAATGAAATGGAATAAAAATTTGTTCATGGCTTAGAGCTGAGAATCTACTGTGATCTAGTCAATTCGCTTAAAAAAGAAACATATTATTCATGGTGACGAATATATTAATCGCGAAATATTTTTTTAATTTTAGGCAATGGAATCAAGTATTTGTAATGTAGAAAGATTAATGAAAAGCAAAGTTAAGGCTTAAAAAACGACCGAACAGGCACAATATTTTTTTTCTCGGGTTTTTTACTTTTCATATCCGACACTCCATGAACCAAATATAGTTTCAGAGTTTTATTATGCATCATAAAAAGGAGAAATACCTATATTTCGTAGTTGGTTATTATTATTTCACCACATAAAATGTTCATAAATAGATACATTCCGATATCAACTGTTTATCAAGTGTTCATCTATCAATAAAATCAGAAAGGCTCTAAATGAAATTATACCTGCTGCTGCGTTGTTTACTAATAAAATAGTCATTGCCAAGCAACTCGAGATTTCTTTAACGACTTCATTGTGGAGTTCTCAAATGAGAAAAAAACACTATATCATGCTACACAGACGAAGACTATTATATCATTTTAATTTTATATTAGCATTAGCATTAGCATCTGTAAAAAGTTTGGCCTTTAATTGAATCCTTTAAACTAAAATTCCTTTTAAAATATTTCAATCAATATAATTTTAAGCGTATTAAATATTTCCGTTAGTTTTTTTTTATGGGTTAGTGGACAGTTACAAAATTCACGGTTCAAGTTTTGACATTAACAATTAATTATTCAAATAAACTCCCACAGGCTACTGTTACAAATTACAAATCTTCTGGAATGCCACTGTTTATTAACCATTAATATTAATTATGAATGAATGAATTAAATTGATGGATATTTTTTATATTTGAGTTTACATTTTATTAAAATCAATCTAGGTAAAAAAAATTGCAGTCATTACATAGTAGAGTGATTCATATACAAACCTGTAAAAATGTCGTAAAGTCAAAACTTACGGAGATACAGGCTGATAAAAGTAATTTTATTTTTTCGTGTTTTATTACTTACCTTCACAATTTTAAAAATATAGGCACAAAAATTCGAAGATGAGCAATTAGATAGTGTATTCAATTTTACAATAACCTGGACACACTTTTTTGCAAAAATACCATCATATTTTTTTGTATATTTTCAAATTTAGTTTAATTTCTGATGAAAGAAGACTTTTAAGACAAAAAAACAACCGGTTTGTAATTTGTTTAATGAAATTAATGAATTAAAATTAAAAATTGAGTAATTTTATACCAGAGTTCTTCACGACTGTTTATTGGGTTTCCGTCAGACAAAGGTATCATGTCGTTTCTTATAGCCAAAGGTCTATGAGGCCGTGTTGTAAAAAATGTAAAAACGTTGCTGCATCAAAATTTGGGAGCAATTCAAATGGTTCTAGTACATAATTATTTGTCTTGAATTCATGTTGGAAAAGTAGTTCTATCAAAATGAGGATTTTCTAATATCCATTTGTTCTGAAACACCCTGTAAATGTATATCAATTTTACAAAATTAACAGCGTGAAACCATTAACACTATAGGAGAGTATAACAGCAACCGATAATGCTGGCAGGTTTTGAAACTCTGTTTTTTGTTGTACTAATTTGGTTTTAATCACCATTACCTTTGCACATATTTAATGTCTACTTTCAAAGGGAAATATTTGGTTGATTTATAAGACCAACATCAATCCTTGCCTACTTTTAGCGAAACAAGCTTATATGAGAATATTTTTAAGCTGTATTAGAAGATTAGTGATAAAATGGCGATATTTTCTCATTCCCACTGAGTGAACGAGCTATTATTGTAAATGTAGATGCAGTCTAGCATGGATATTAACGAGGAGAAAAGGAATCATGACTACTTGACGAGATCTTCCTCGGATGACGATGAAGGAGAATATAATGATTTTTATAATTTAGTTTCTGTATAATGTTTATTATTATTACAACAACTGTTACATCAAGTTAATGAAGTTACGATAAGAAGAAATAATTTTTGGTTAAGCCTGTGCAGCTCAAAAGACTCGGTGAACGATACAGGTTTCTTTGAACTATTTTCTTAAAACCACGCCCGTGGATGCTTCGGGATATAAATTTTCGACAAATCGCCTTGGTGGTACGTCGGACGAGGCTGCCGACAGGGCATCGAAGCTACGCTCCGCGACTGACCAAAACTAATGACGCGACTCGCGTTCTTTGTTTGTAAATTAAGCCCAGTATGCGTTTTTACGGGTCTAAACAGTCTCCCGGGGCATGACAAAAATAAATTACTTCCTCACGGTGCCCGTTATCGTTAGATTTCATCGGCAGATCAACGTGGTTTTTTTCGACATCGCCCGTTTATCGCATCGACGATCTTGTTCACACAGTTTTTCGGTTTCCTCCGTTCTGTGAAGCCATAACCGTTTGCTTTTATATTTTCGGTTGCTGGTCTCCGTAGTTTTTCTTCTCTCCGGCGATGCGGCGTTTGCATCTTGGGCTTCGGCGTACATTTCGTCTTTGAAAAGTATTAAATAACAAAATTATTAATTTTTGGAATATCAACCCCTAAAATTGGTGGTCGAATTGATTCTATATTGGCAATGAATAATTATTACTTTCAGTAACATTCTAACATCGATCTATTTATGTTTCCTAGACTGGGTATGGGTATCTTATTACTTTTTATGACTTTTTTATAACTTCATTAGGTTCTTTATAATTAAATATCTTTTTATTTGTATTTTAAATCTATCAAGCAGATTAAACTTATGGAAACGTTTCAATAACATGAGCATATCTGTATCCGAAAATTACAGCGCTCTTCACATAATTATAATGTTTTTTAAAACGGCATTTGGTCATTTTACAAAGTGTTATTGTCGTTCAGATACATATTTTTAAATTCTAAAGAAATTTGAAATCAAAAGCCGTATGGAAAAAAAAATACAAAAATATCGAGCATCTAAAACTACCTGGTATCTGCTAGACACAGAAATAAACAATTTTTGCAGAAAATACTGAAGAGTTAAAGTTGATTTGTTCAACATTTAAATGCATTGGAACACGCCGATCCAAGGCATCCCAAAGATGTTCATTTGTTTTTCTCTCTAACTCATTCAGTAACTTAGCTGCGTGTTTCCGATAAATGTTCTGTTGGAGTTGCCATTGCATTTGCCAATATTTCTTTCTATTGAAATCTTTTACCTTGAATTTTACACTATCCCAGATCGTGAAAAACATCTCTCATTAGGTTAGGTTGATTTATTTATAGAAAATGCTCGAACACATCCATCATAATTTTTTCTTGAGCATGTTTTGCAATAAATAGGTTTAGGTTTAGCTTTATGTGTTTACAGTATACGAAATGTATTGGGTTGTTCGGAAAGTCATTTCGTTTTTTTTGGGGAACATGAAAGACAGTTTTCGTATAATGAATAAATATTTCATTAAATTATATATTGGCCATTCTGGTCCAACACCTTTTGCCATCTTTCTGGCAGTAACATAATTCCCCTCTCACAAAAGTTTTGGTTCTTGCTGGCAAAAAACTGGTTCAGGTGGTTTTCGACATCTTCATTTGAGGTAAAGGTTTTGCCATCCAAAAAATTTTGCAGGGACCGGAACAAATAGTAGTCGGAAGGCGCCAGATCTGGAGAATATGGTGGATGTTGCAGTACGTCCCATTCAAGCTGTAAAAGTTTTTGGCGAGTGACCAAACTTGTGTGAGGTCTCGCATTATCCTGGTGGAAGACTACACCTTTCCTGTTGATTAATTCGGGCCTCTTCTCTTTAAGTGAATCATTCAATTTGTCCAGTTGATGACAATAGACTTCTGAATTAATCGTTGTATTGTCCGGCAAAAGCTCAAAAAAAACGATTCCTTTGACATCATACCAAACGGAGAGCATCACCTTTTTTTGCTGAATGTCCCCAGTAATAATCCGCTTCAAAAATGGATCATTTTCTTGACGTTTGAGGAGCGAATCACACACGTCAACGCGACGACACAAATTTCGCTCCGTAAGGACATAGGGCACCCACACATCGAGCTTCGAGGTTAAGCCCATGCCTTTCAAATGGCCATAAACAGTCGAATTCGACAAATTTAGTGTCTCACCGATCTCTCGTGTGGTTATTCGCCGATTTGCATCAACTAATGCCTTTATCGCATTTTTGTCAGCTTCGACCGGCCTTCCAGACCGTGGTGCATCTTCGACATCAAAATTGCCGATCGAAATTTTGCAAACCAGTTCTGGCACTGAAGTAAAAAAGTAAAATATGACGAAAATGCTGATTATTGCTCTCCATATTTAAAAAGGCACCAACCAAAAACTACTGCGTAGAATTAATAGAACTTTTTCACACACAAGCCTTGCAATATCAGCTCTCAAGACATATAATGGTTATGCGGCTTAAGTGTGAAGTTGGTTTCGAAAAAACGTAATTAAGTCCTCTGACGGGAAAAAACGAAATGACTTTCCGAACAACCTTATATATGTAGCAAGTCAAAACAATATAAATATATACATATAAGGGTAATGAAACAATATATGAATAAAAGTATAAAACAATTAAAGTGCGAAACAAGTTCGTAAAAGTAGGCAGGTTAAAAATTTGATATTTAGGTACTCATCAGTACTGTAAAAAGCGATTAATGTCAGTAGATACTTGACAGTTCTCTTAAAA